CCCCCCCCAAAAAAAAAAGAGAAATTACAAACACTCCTCCAACGCTTTGTCCATCTCCAGAATTCTACAACTCAGGCTCAACATCCCAACTCACCGTCCACGAAAACACCACCGCATACTCCAAATACCGCCTACGTCCCCGCGTGCTCCGAGACGTCTCAGCCTGTAATCCATCAACAACAGTCTTCGGGCGCAAGATCGATTTCCCGCTATGCATCTCGCCGGCAGGACTTCAAGCCATAGCGCACGCCTCAGGCGAGCTTGCCACGAGCCGCGCCTGCGCAAAACGCAACGTGCACATGGGCGTATCCTCCTTTGCGAACTTCAGCGTCGAAGAGATCGTTGATGCCGCTAGATCACCATCATCAACAGACTCGGAAAAGAAAGCCCACATAGCACACACCATGCAACTCTACACGCTCCGAAACCGCGCTTTACAAACGCGCATGATCCAACGCGCCGAGAAAGCAGGCTGCACCGCCATATTCCTCACAGCAGATAGTCCCGTGCTAGGTGTGCGCTACAACGAGTACCGCAATGACTTCCGCACGCCGGCTGGGTTGTCGCTGCCCATGTTCGACCTCTCGTCAGCCGCGATCCGCGCGCAGACGCACGATGGGAATTTCGCGGGGTTGAACTCGGATCGGCATGCGTGGGGTGAAGAGGTCAGGTTTCTGAGGAGCGTGACGGAGAAGATGGAGATTTGGATTAAGGGGGTTTTGACGGCCGAGGATGTGGTGCTGGCGAGGGAGTTTGGGTGTGAGTTTTTCGTCTCTTTTGGAGAGTGCTAGAGTTGTTTGTCTTCAAGTATTTGAAGTTTGGTGTTATGTGGTGTTCTGAGAACTTTGATGGGCCAGTTCATTGAGGTGTTATGGCTTGAGTTTTACTGACTATATATTCACGACTTAGGTGACGGGGTTATCGTTAGTAATCACGGGGGCAGGCAGCTCGACGAGACGCCCGCTACGATCGACGTATTGAGTGAATGCGTGGAAGCTGCCGAGGGGAAAATCCGCGTTCACATCGACGGCGGGATCCGATCCGGTGCCGACATCTTCAAAGCATTGGCATTAGGGGCGGAGTGTTGTTGGGTAGGGCGACCCGCTATTTGGGGGCTGGCGGTGAGTAGCCTTTTTTCTTCTCCGTAATTTTGTATAATGGATCGTGGGGTTTGCTAATGTCATGGGGGTTTATAGTATAATGGTGAGGCGGGCGTTACGAAAGCGCTGGATATTCTTTACGACGAGTTCCGGAGGTGTATGCAGTTGACAGGGTGTAATTCTGTGGAGGATATTACGAAAGCTAAATTGGGGGTTGTGAGGGCTGATGGGCCGTTAGCGCGACTATAGCGAGGACAGTTGATGATGAGGTTAAGGCCGATGACGAATTATTCATAATGATATGGGAGAATACGTTGAGCGGATACGAGGTTGAAGATAGGGTGCAATAATTTTGTTTTTCGGAGGGCTGGTTTTGTTTCGACGAATATTTTTCTTATTTAGACAACGAGGTATTTCCTATTCATATACTCAAGAATATTCGTAATTCTATAGTCATTGAACGCTATACACGCTTCACCAGACCATACTTGATGGCGGAAACTTGCCTCGACCGACCAACCTTTCTATCCCAAAACTCCCCACAACAACTTCAAATCATCATTTCTTCTTAGACTGCGGCGCAGGGCTGTGGCCGCGACTCGACGTATCCGTCTGTCCAGCCATCCATCCAGCGAGATCGAAATTCTGAATCTGCTTCGCGGTATCCGTAGTAGAGCTACCTGTGACGCCCTTCTTCTGCATCTCCTCGAACTCTGCCTTCATCTCGGGGTCCACTGTTCGTGTGTTAGCTCGGTCTACCCTAGTACAGGGTATGGGAGTAATGAACATACTGTTCTCCATGATATACGGCATACCAAAAATCAAGCCCATCGACACAAGCGCCATAAGAATCATAGGATTCTTCAAGAATGACAAAGGCGAAACTGCATGCAAGTTAGCCCCACCAACTCCCTCCTTGTTATAAAAAAGGACACTCACAGCCCGTCCGTTCTTGATAAAACGCCTTCAATCCCAAAGGCCTGACCTCAATCACCAACCCATTCCCACCCTGCCCCCTATTTTCGCCTTTATTTTCCCACTCATTCCCGACGAAAGTCTGCCACGCCTTTACGACTTCCTTCTTCTCTCCGCTCCCTTCCACAGCTTCTTCCAACGTGACATCAATGCGCAGCGGTTCGAAAGCAAAGTCCCGGCAATGTACGGTAGCGAGATAGCTCCCGACAGATACATTGTTGAAGTTGAAGGAGTTCGAGCGGGTAATGTAAGCGTCTTGGGGTGGACCAGAAGATTGGAGGGTAGCGTGGGTTGTGGAGGGAAGAATGGATGGGTTTACGAGGGGTGTGGCGGGGACATGGAGCATGAAGCGCGCTGCTGAGGCTACGGAGGCCAGAGAGGCTATGGTAGAAAGGGAGGTCCACATCGTTGGGATTGTGTTTTGGGGAGATTGGTGACGTTGGAGAAATGCGGAGGGAAGTGGTCAGTCTATCACTATGGATGGCTCTCGGGTAAATGTTAATCCGTCTTCCAACTCAGCTGGGCCCCCACTACCACTCTACCGTACTAATATTGATAGTTCGTTTCCATCTTCTTGGATTGTGAAACGCGGAGATTTTGGTGTCAGGTATGATTGATCCTTAACTGTTGTCACTATACCGGTATATATTTTCAATTATGGAAAATTTTTCCATCTGAAGTCCTTACCAGGGCGTGTAGCTCAGTGGTAGAGCGCCCGCTTTGCATCTCGAAGCCTGCGGGAGGTCTAGGGTTCGATCCCCTACCCGTCCAGATGCGTAAATCGCATTTCTTTTTGTGGTTTTTGGTGTTGTGGAGGAAGGGGTGTGAAAAAGATGGATGTTGAAGTTGGTCACGTGCACGAACTCGGTAGAGCCACGTGCATTGATCTCGGTAGCCACGTGCTTCCATGGACTCACGGGTCTCTCTTTCCATCCCATCCATCCAACTTTATTTTTTGAAAGTTGCATGTAAAAACTGATCCATTCCCCATATCCTGATTCTGTATATGATTCCAGGCAGATTCTTCTCTTGGTATTAAAGCTTCCTGGAGCCAACCGGCCTACAGATCTCCTTGTCAAGGGTACGTACGTACGTACATTTATAGGTAGACTGGAGCATATCTAGTTATCACTAACAATTGTGCTGCGTTTTCCTTGGGGGTGATTCTCAAATACTGTGTTTTGTGATTCCTACGTTTTCACATGTTCTAATCTAATTCACGGTTCGTTACGGCTGTAATTGCGTACCTAGTTTTTATTCATGTTAGTTACAACGATGCATTCTGATCACACCACGCAACGGTATCACATATAGGCACACTACACGAAGAGAAGTTCTATGAGCACTTTGCATAAATTGCATAAACAAGAGATTGGGGGTGTTGTAGTAGATGAACACCAAGCCGGCAAGAGAAGGGTTACACACACACACACACACACACACACACACACAAAATTACTTAATGAACTGGTATTCTCTCTTCTTGCTACACAATCCCCCCATCTACATACGTACAACAACAACACACATACATATAGCTCTTGTACTACTACTACTAACCCTCCCTCTACTCTACCACCGCGAAGATGCTTTAAACACAAGGAAAAATGGGATCTTTCAAGAGGGAAAAGAAACTCCACAAGACATGATGAGGAGGAAGAGGATTATGTACAATTGGATGTTTGTTTTTTATTGTTCTCCACTTCCACGAGAAAGAAACTCTTTTTTTAACTTTACACGCCGTAGGCGACCTGGGGATTCGGCTCGCCGGGGGCCATGAAGTTTGTCTCCGAGTTCTTGGCTGCCTTTGCCGCCGAGCAACGGGCCATTGTGGGGGAACTGTACCATTTAGTTAGATATCTGTGATTCAATACATCCAGCGATTAACGAATAACTTACTTTCTTGAGATGACGTCTGTGAAGAAGAAGTTCTCAATGGGCTTCTTGAGCGCCTGTCCACTTGGCTTGGAGCCCTTGTTCTGGTCGACGAGCTGCACCTTGCTCAAGCCCGGAAGGGCGACGGGCTCAACAACATCGTAGCTGCGGAGAGCGGGGGAAATCTCCTGCATACGATCCCGGAGAGCCTCGACATCGTCGTACGGAAGCTCAGCGTCGAGGTATTCAGATGCTGCACGGATGATCTTCCAGTCTTCTCGCGAGGCACCAGGGAGGCCAACGGCAGCACGGGTCATTTGCACACGGCCCTCAGTGTTCACGTAAGTAACAGACTTCTCAGTGTATGCGGCACCGGGGAGGACGACGTCAGCGAGCTGTGCGCCACGGTCACCGTGATGGCCTTGGTAGACGACAAAGGCATCCTTGGGGATCTCGGCCTCGTTGATCTCATCAGCTCCGAGGAGCCACACAAACTTGGGGGTTGTGTTTGCAACCTCTGGTGACGGTACTGTAAAGCCAACCTCGAAAGCACCAGTTCGCGAAGCCGTTCGCTGAAGAACGTTGTAGCCGTTCCATTCGGGCGTCTGGAAGTTGGCCTTGGACTTCTCTACAAATGCACCAACTTGCTCGTAAATGGATTTAGCGTCAGGGTGCTCGGTGACAGCGCTGCCGACAATAATCAACGGCTTCTTGGCAGACTGTAGTTTCTTGCCGAATTCGCCAGAGAAAACGCTCTTGAGGTCAGTGGCAGACGATCCAAGGTTCTCGTATTCGAAAGTGCTCTCAAAGTCCTCACCAACAAGACCAACGGCAAGGTCGGACCTCAGCCATTGCTTCCTGATACGGGCGTTGAGTACTGCAGCCTCGTGTCGTGGGTTGGTGCCGATAAGGAGAATGGCATCCGCCTCTTCTACACCGTAGATCTTGGAGTTGAAGGCATAGTTTGAGCGAACGTCGACACCGTGCGCAATAGGTTCGCTGCCACCGGGCTGGTCGAGGGCCAGGTTGTCAGAGCCAAGTTTGTTGGCAAGGTCTTTCATAGCAACCAAGGTCTCAGTCTCCGTCAAGTGGCCAGCAACGGCCTTGAACTCGTTGCCCTTGGGTGCTATCCTCTTGTAGGCGTTACCGATCTCAACAAGTGCTTGTTCCCACGAGGCTGGCTGGAACTGGTTGTCCGCCCTAATGAGAGGGTTCACAAGTCGCTGTGTGCTGAGGGCATCACAGGCAAAGCGTGATTTGTCGTCAATCCACTCCTCGTTGATGTCGTCGTTGAGCCTGGGAAGAATCCTCATGACCTGCATACCGCGAGCATCCACGCGGATGTTGGAGCCTAGACCGTTTAGCACATCAATGGTTTCCGTGTGGTAGAGTTCCCAGGGTCGGGCCTTGAAGGCATATGGCTTAGAAGTAAGAGCACCGACGGGGCAAAGATCGATAACGTTTCCGGACATTTCAGAGTCGAGTGTCTTCTCGAGATAGGTACCGATTTGGATATCGTTGCCACGTCCGGTGGAACCCATCTCGGGGGCGCCCGCAACGTCGTTGGAGAATCGAATACATCTTGTGCAATGAATGCATCGGTTCATGGAAGTCTGCACACTCTCAGCAGACGTCCTTCAGGTGACACCACTTGCATATATCCTACCTTGATCAAAGGTCCGATGTTCTTGTCCTCAACAGCACGCTTGCCACCGACCTCGTGGAATCGCCCGCGGTCGGCACCGTATCGCATGGACTGATCCTGCAAATCACACTCGCCTCCCTGGTCGCAAATCGGGCAGTCAAGCGGGTGGTTGGCGAGCAGGAACTCCATGACACCCTCTCGCGCCTTGTGGACGAGGGGCGAATCGGTCTTCACCACCATTCCCGGCTGCACCGGCCACGCGCAGGAGGCCACAGGTTTAGGAGCCCGCTCCACCTCGACCAGACACATTCGGCAATTTCCAGCAATCATCAACTTCTCGTGGTAGCAGTACCGAGGGACTGTGCTTCCGGCTTTCTCGCAAGCTTGGATAAGGGCCGAACCGGCTGCAGAGAGCGTTAGAAGGGGGCATGTAGCTTTGGTGAGTCACAATCGACAGCATACCTTCGATTGACACCTTCTTCCCATCTGTCAAGTGCGTTAGCATGCGTGGTGGCCATCGTCGAGAGGTGGCACAAACCGATGGTGAGCTCCACCTCCGCCGGCTTGCGGGCAGAGGCAGTAAAGGCCCGGCTGCCATTGAAGCCTGCCTGGGACGCAGGCCGCTTCAGCGACCGGATCAATTGTTGCCGCAGCATGTTGTGGCGAGAGCAAAGACGCGGGATCGATGGGGGTATGTAGAGGCTCAATCGAGCGACGAAGGACGTCAATTGAGCTTGGGAGTGCCAAGGCGCTGCATAAGCGTAGCCGTGATTGGTCGGAGGGCTGGCGCATATAAAATTCTCGCCCTGCCCCAACATCTTTTCCTCTTCAACTCATTTCTGGGACGATTTTATTGTGGGAAACTTGGGCCTCATTCCCTTTCTTCCTCTACAATCTTCCCTAGAGCACGACTGACCGTGCGCCGTAGCTGGAGCAGATGAGGTTTTCTATGATATCTTGTTCCTTACCAACGTCGCGACATTCCTAGGTAGATTGACTGAATTGCGCCCGGAGAAAAGGCTGCCGCACACGCGAATTTGCACGCAACGAGAACTCAACACTAATTCGAGCAAGCTTACCGAACTGCATACTACTCTTGTTCGCATGGTCTCTCATCCTGATATTTCACTGTCATAGAAGAAAATACCTACGGCATTATGAGACATGCTTCCACCCTACCATCGCCCATACTGCTGACATGATATCCTGCCTCTTCTTACGTGCGAGACACGTCCATTGATGGACCAGAAGGACGTGCTCAAGCTATTCTCCAGTCATCGATATTCGTTTGCTTCCCTCCGCATTTAACGTTACACAACCTTAGACTCCTCAAGATGGTTATTACAAAGCATACTTATCCCATTGGCCAGAGCCCCCGCAGTTCCAAGCTCCGTGGGATCCGCAGCATCTGGCACGCAACCACGTAGCGGTGATGGCAAGAAATACAACCATTATATATGTTGCTGCCTGGACCTTTCCGCATAACCCTACATCCGATTATACAACCGCTTTCGCACACGTCTTCTCTCTGTTCATGTCAAGACCGAGTTATGAATCGAACAAATAATATTTTCTCTATAGGATGAAAACGCCCGCCAAATCATAGCGAGGATATCGCGTGTCTATACGCAAGAAGCATGGACACGTAATAACAAAAATAAACTCCCCACCGAAGGGGTGATGAACCGAACAACTCCTCTCTTGATGCAATTATTTCCGCAGGCAGCGGCATTTGTCCCTCGTTATTGTCATCCAGACAATTACTCATTGTCGCTCTCAGCACCAATTTCCATCTTGGCACCTTGGCCAGCGGTCGGTTTCGCCACGGGTGCAGAGAGCTTCTGCGGTGGAACGCCATAACCGTTCCTGTTGCGGAAGAAGTAGACACCCTTGCCCTCTCCCTCGGCACCTTCGCTAGGCTCCACCCATTGACACACGCGAGCACTATTCCACATGGCCTTGAGGAAGCCAATAGCTCCACCCTTGGTATCCGACCGGTAGTGCTTGCCCATAACCTTCTTGATGGCTTCGGAAGCCTCATCAGCGTTGTAGAAAGGAATCTGGGAGACGTAGTGGTGAAGCACATGGGTCTCGATGATGCCGTGAAGAAGAGTGCGGCCAACAAAACCGAATTCACGGTCGATGGTAGCAGCGGCACCACGAGTGTAAGTCCAGGTTTGAGCGTCGTAGTGGGGAAGGGTAGGGTCGGTGTGCTGCAAGAAGGTGATGGCGACTAGATTGTATTAGCACT